GTCAAACGTACGTGGACTACAAAATTTTCGCAAAAGTATAAGCGAATAGGTTGTAATTTGCTATGTCGATCCTCATTGGGTCTCATCAGACATGTGGGATCAGAGGTCAATCCATACAAATCAATATACATGTCGCTCGAACAGTGCTTCAATACTGTCATGGTTCTCAAAAACATCTTGCAATGCTACAGGTAGACCTTGCAAAAGCTTTTGATCGTGTTCGTCATTCCTTCCTTTTTTCTCTTCTCGAACAAGATAATGTTGGCAAAGTTGCTCTTAAAAGCGTCAAACTATGCTATAATGAATGCTCAACTCGTCTGATAGTTAATGGTCAACTCTCCAAGCAAGTTTCTATTCGCTCTTCTGTAAAACAGGGATGCCCGATGTCACCTCTTTTATTTGCACTTTATCTAGAACCACTGTGCTTAAGCATAATACAGTCGAGTTGCATTCGTGGCTTTAGTATATTAGGCAGTGAGGTTAAAGTATTGGCTTATGCAGACGATGTCGCATTCTTTTGCACAGATAAACCAAGTGTTGAAAATGTGGTATATACTATTGAAAAGCTTGGCATAGTATCAGGAGCTCATTTAAATGCCTCTAAAAGTTTAGGACTGTGGTTTGGCTTGTGGGGTAGCACACCAAACCACTTTGCAGGGATTAAGTGGACAAGAACTCCTCCAACATATACCTCGGTGTACCATTGCATGCATATAGATTCAGTGCGCATTACTGGAAGGAACGCGTCCCTAAGCATGAACGACAGGCCCAGACATTTGTTCCCTATCGACTTTCGATGTTTGGGAGAGCTGAAGCTTGCAATACTTTCTTAGCGACAAAGCTTTACTATGTATTGCAACTTATTCATTGCGCAAGATTCTATATACAACGCTTTCATCGGATTTTCGCTACTTTACTTTCATATGGTCTTTGACTTTTGAGCCCATGCGTCGTGATAATATGTTCAAGCCAGTTAGTGAGGGTGGGTTAGGACTAAAACACCTTTATCTATGGCAAATAGTGTCCCGATTCTTCTTTTTTCGAGACAATTCCCATCCTGTAATCCGGTCCTTCTTGCAGGTTACACTTGTTGATTGCTTACCAGATTTAATTGTTTCATCGAACTTCTCCGAACGCCCATGCTTGTGGGGATTCATGCAGGAATTTTACCTCGCAGTCAAGTTCCTTAAAGCTCGCTTTTCTGTAGAATACCTGTACACAGTATCGCGCAAGGTGCTGTATAAGGACGTACTGAGTACACTCTTCCTACCTTTATTGTACCGCTCACTGTACTCCAATCTTCCAGGCCACGAAATGTTCATTCCACCGAATTCAGAAACATTCTTCTATAAACTCTACTCTGAAACATTGGCGGTAAACACATGGTTAGAAAGAAAGGGTATTTTCATTCCGTCTGTTAACTGCCGTCTATGTGATGTGCCGGAAACGATTGAACATTGCTTTGTTAGCTGCAAAGATGCCATACTGTTTTGGGATGTCCTTCAGCGAGCACTGGAAAAACGTTTCGTCCTTAATTCTCACACAATACGTTATCTTGTAACGAAATAGAAAGTTGGGCGAGTTGGTGTATATTCATATTAAAAGAAAAGCGGCGGACAAAAAAACAGAGACAAAGAAGAGAACCACACACAGCGCTGCTACGTTATCTTCTACCAGCAGCGCTTGATGAAGTGCCATATGATATGTTTTTCCTCATGAGTATGCACAGCTTGTGGAAGACACGAATGCAAGACCACAATGCAGAGCCCACCACCTCTTCAAGCGCACACTTCATTCAAATGGCTATCCACCTAAAAAACATTTACGACGAGCTAGACTTTAGACCGGACTGGTACTCCATCTTAGAGAACTGTTTGACCTCACCCCTTTTTTGTTTGTATAACACGATGTGAAGAACTCTCTATGTGAGGAACTCACGCAGTGTTAGCCATTTAGTGTTTATGAGTAACGCTTGAACTTATCTTCGCGATTTTATCGTACCTTCGTTCGCTTCATTTCGTATTTATTGCGCAAATACTTTATTAAATACCATGAAGAAAAGGCAGTTGTGGCGTAGTTGGTTAGAGCAGCACATTAAGATCTGGTGAGTTCGGTAGTTCGAGCCCCAATGCAGTTTTTGTTACTTTTGCTTTTTTTCGCGCATGTATTGTTTTAACATTTGCGCCTTCTCATCCGCCTCCCGTCAGCCTGACTTGCTGCTAGTGGTGGTCCTGTCCACTGGCCCTTTAATATTGGATGTTTGATGACTCTTGCAGAATTGCCTCTATTTATTTAAATAAAATGTTTTGCAAATTAGTGCTCTTAATCGGCGAGACGCCAAAGGACCACGAAAAACTCAGATGCAGCTGGCTGCATTGGTTTCTCCAGCACAGCTGTCTGGAATATTGATTTCCATGGTTTATGAAAGTTTTGATGGCAGAAAGGCGCACTGCAACGTAGTCTCAGGAATTTTTTTTTTTTTTTTTGTCGCTCAGTGTACAATTACCAGACGAGGTAACGAGCAGGACGCTTCAAAACACTGACGTGCCAACGCAGTGATCTAAACAATCGGCACTTAATAAACGATGTCCAAGGGGAAGTGCCGACGGCGTTAATCCATCTAATACAAAACAGCTTGTCTGCCTTGCTGAATAACACGCACGGCCTGTTACAGCACGGGAGCATTTACGTTGCAACGGATGAGAACAGCCGTACGTGCTCGCACTTAACAAAACAGCCGGCAATGCAGTATCTTTGGCCTTCGGAGATCACAGGCTTCGTAAAAACCCTACAATAAAGTTGTTTCCATCCATCGTAAGAAAATTTTGCAGACGCACTGGGGTTTCATGCATGTGCGTCCGGTCAGTCACACGTGAACTGTGCAAAAGCATTTATTTCATCGTCGACCTTGTTTTTCGCGACAAGCAAAACTCGGCAGAAAGTACACTTTCACCTTTGGCAACACCACGCTTTGCATTGCAATCTATAAAATGCAGCACGTCCAACAACAATAATCCGCACTTCATACTGGGAAACTTTATGGCGCACACACTTGGATGAAGCTGCGGCGTGGTGGACGGCAGTGCTAGCTCCGGCAATTAAGGTTCCTTTTGGCGTTGCATAAGTCAGTGCCAGACTTTGGGGTGGCTGTTGCCAGACTGTCGCTAAATTTGGCTGAAAAATTTTCTTTTGTATTCGTGGCATTTCCGTAAGAGTTTGGTGCCTACCGCGGTGCATTTCGGGAGTGCATGAGCGATGCTGGCCGTTTTAATTAACGGAATGAACCGAGCTTAGCATAAGTCGAGCGTGGTGCTGCCGTGCAGTTAAGAGGCCGTTTTAATTAACGGAAGGAACCACGCATTACAGAATTCGTTTTAATTAACGGAATGAACCGAGCCTAGCAGAAGTCGAGCGTGGCGCTGCCATGCAATTAGGCAGCTAGGGGAAGTGTAGCGTCCCCCGTCGTAGCGCGCGGTCGACGCGACACGATAAGCTGAGAGAAAAAAATAAAAGTAAGGGGGGAGGGGGGCAGCGCATCACCTCCTGCGACTCTATTCAGTTTTCCCCGTCATCCCTAATACTGAGACGCGATATCTTAATCGCGCAGCTGCGCACACAGCAAGAGAACGCGCCTCGACTTCTGCTAGGCGCGGTTCATTCCGTTAATTAAAACAACCTCTTAATTGCACAGCAGCGCCGCGCTCGACTTCTGCTAGGCACGGTTCATTCCGTTAATTAAATTGGCCTCTTAATTGCGCAGCAGCGCCGCGCTCAACTTCTGCTAGGCGCGGTTCATTCCGTTAATTAAATTGGCCTCTTAATTGCACAGCAGCGCTGCGCTCAACTTCTGCTAGGTGCGGTTCATTCCGTTAGTTAAAACGGCCAGCGTCGCTCGTTCGCGAAATGCACCGCGGATGGCATTAAGTTCTCACAAAAAAAACACTACTACAAAAAAACTTTTTGCAGTCAAATTTAGTGGCAATATGGCAACACTGACCCTCCCAGTCTGGCAACCATTTATGCAACGCCAAAAGGAGCCTTGCCCTAGCTCCAACCGTCAGGTTCAGCTAGGAATCTAGCCATCACATGAAGCAGCGACTACACAGGGTCTCCGGCGCTCCTTGGGGGCGGCCTAGGCCATGGCCACGATTTTGTCGAAGCTTTCACCACCAACACACATCGCAGGCAGCTACCACCTCGCGCTGTTTACCTTTCGCTGCCGCAGCGCCCATGGCGCCCCCTGTATTTATCATACTTGTTTTATGGGTTTATTACCACTTGTAAGCTGATTGACTCGGTAAACATCTGCTTAGTTAAATATTTGTAGATTTAACGCATTATAAATTATTAATTTATACATTTAAAGAGCTTTAGATAATAATTTTTAAAGTCACGTCATTTTTGTGTGGCGCAGGAGCCACTTTTGTGTGGGGCTGGCTGCTGTGCTGCGCGAAGCAGGAGACGTTGCCAAAACGTAGGCCCTAATTCTAAGGATAAACAATTCTTAGGATTGTTTGCGGCGTCTTCGCACTTGCGCGGTTCATGTTCTGGTAGGTGTTCTGTGGCAACGCCTCCTAGATTTCTCGTGCCTGCCGGATGAGCGCGAAACGCCGGTCATCTATGGCAGCGCTACCTACGTAGGAGTAACGGTCTTTGTATTTGGCCTTTGAGATCGGCAATTTTAGCGTTTGTTACTAATTTCAGAGGATGCCTTGTATTAAAAAAGTTGCTTGCTGAATGGCGGCGTCACCTACGTTGGGTTGATTATAATTACGTTTACGCCTTTTAAAACTTTTTAACGTTATTTTTGTTGCATATAAGTTCAAAAAACGTAAAAACCTATTTGAAGACACCCCTACTTTAGTGGCGCCACTACCGTAGTTTCGACGACCACCGCTTCTCAAGCGACCGCCGATAATCCGGCAAGCACGGGAAATCTAGGCGGCGTTGTCTGTGGTGACGGTCGCTGCGCGTTTAGTTAAAGTGGTTGCAGCATTGAGACGCGTCGGTTGCTCTCGCACTGGTAGTTAATGGACGCAATAACGTAGCGCTGATTCTGGTATTAATTTTTGACGTTACGAAGCCACCAATCTGGTCGACGATGTTTCGCTCGAAGAATGAGGTTGACAGGCACGTCGCTGGAGCTTTGGCAAGATGCAGAGACGAACACCAGGTAATGTGTGCATGATTGAGTAATGCTAAATGTGTAAGTAATATTAAATATCGAGTCGTGCGTACTAGCGTTAGTGTAAGAATGCTTGAATGTATACTTGCAAACTTCCCAGCACTTCTAAGGTCAACATTCCCAGGCGTGTTGCCTGGCATCGTGCTCGTAGGAGCACGCCTCTCGATTCCGAAACTTTGAATCGTTTGCTCGATTTTGTTTGCTGTTTCATGCACACGAAAGCTGTTTTACCATTCTTTTAAAAATAGTTGTCTTGTAGTGTTTCATGTCGTTTCGATGGTTAGTATTACGTTATTATACACTGACATTAGCTTTTTGTTTGTTTGTTTCGATAACGTGGCGGCAATAAATCTGTCCAGCGCTTCTGGCACTGGACAGATTTATTATTTGCTTGTATACTCGGAACAAACGCTGGATGCATTTAGGATATAAGTGATGATGCGAAAAGGGCCTTTTGATTTATGTTATAGTTTTTAGAATAGTTAAAAATTGCAGAATTGCCCCCCCCCCCTCTAAAAAAAAAAAGATTTCCCTGCAGTGTCAGTGGTGACCTAGCTTCTCACGTGTGTCCGTGTTTCCACGCCCAATTTTTTTTACGTGCCCTTGTAACTATAATTTTATTTTATCTACGCCGCTGATAGGTCTGCGTATATCAAACTTGACTGTTTTATGATGTTTTTGTGTTTGCAGCGATCATACACATGTGTGTTTCATGCTTCAGCTTTATTTTGCCTAGCGTTCAAGGAATATATATATATATATATATATATATATATATATATATATATATATATATATATATATATATATTTTCTAGGCCATAATTCTAAATTCTGCACGCCGGTCAGTGTACGATCACGCCGTATCCCTGGATGATCACCGGATTTCATTTAAGTATAGATGGTTTTTACTTGTGCTCTTCACACTGCTGACTGCAACTGCATTATTTCTATTCCCTTTTTCCTCTGTTCTCGCGTTTGTAATTTATTTTAAAAAATGGGTTTTCATTTTAATCGTCGTCGTAAGTTTCCCTTGCATGCTGTTTTCTTGAAGTTAACGTGATTGTATCTTTTTTTATTGAAAAGCGTTATTAATACAAGCTTTGTCAGTTTAATCGGTAAGCATGCTGAGAAAATACTGCGCAATTATCACCGCACTGTCGTAAGCCCTCTTTGAAAACCTTGTGCTGTAACGTTTGTCTTGAAAACGAGCTTGGTTCTAGTAGAAAACGTTCCAGCTGTGCAGATCTGCATGCGCTTGGTGAAGCTTCCCCTGTGGTGCTGCTTGCGCCTTTGTTGCGGTCTGGTCACGGAAATTCTGTCGTGCCGTTTTAAGTTTGACGGCGGCGTAATTCAGCAGGAGCGGTGCTCGCGGGCCTGCGTCGCGCGGACGCGCATGGCGTCCTAGCTGGCACCGTGCCAACTGTGATAAGACGTCGCACCAGAAACAGCAAGTGTCATCGCGTCGACGGGCGCTAACCACGCGAAATGGAGCGACGCGCTGCCGACGCTTGAGCGGTTTATGCGCGCGATTCGGCTTGGAAGCGCTGTTTTGATTCTTTTTCGGCGTATGTTAACTTGTGTCGTCCGTTTCATAACGACCTCACACGTGACGCTGTAGCACGGTCGATCGGCAGTGACTTGTCTTCTGGCAGCCTCCGTCGGCGCCTGGCACGTGGTTCAACTCGTCGCAACTCGCACGCTCCGCATCTGCCATCTTGGAGACCACATGCAGCGAGAAGTTGGCGTCCAGCTGCAAGTACAGGCATCTTTTTGTTGGGTGGTTCGTGGTACAGTGGTTTAACGCTCGCGTTTTTGTGCAATGCTCCATGCGAAGTGCTTGCATACGAGGACGTTTGCCGCTCAGCTCCCAGGCCTGTATGGACGGCCCGAATCAAAGCTTCGTTGGCCGGCGGACATGCCCGCTGGATCGCGCTTTGCGTGTGTTGCAGCAGTGCAGCATTGGTGATATGCTTACCTAATTTAATTACGAGACGCAAAGTATGATGTCGCTCAACAGCATGCATTTTCTGATATGGGCATTAAACCACTGAGAGTGATATGCGCCAAATAAAGCGAGTTTTTTTTTTTTTTCATGGGCGGGGGGGGGGGGGGGGCAAGGGAAAAAGTTTTTGTGATCGTCCAGCATGACTGTTTGTAGCTTTCTAAACCGCTAGGTTCTGCTGGCATATTTGCATATACATGCTCCTGAGATTTCATTAAATGCTTAATTTGTCTTTTACTGTAACTCGGATTCTAGAGTACTCTTCTTGTGGACTTGCAAGGTATATCTGTGCACTGTCCAAGTCTGGCACTGATTCACCAGGAGGCAATACATGTAACATAAGTGCCAACTGCGGGAAAGCAGTGGGCCCGTACGTGCACAGTTGAACTGGAATCTCTCTGTTGTGCATATGCAAAGCTTTGAAACGAACACCAGCATAAATTTCACTGATGTGGTTAATATGACACGTAAAATGCCACTTGAAATCCATTTGCTTGCCTATGGCATGCAGGTGTACTGGTTTGGATCTGTTGAATAAGCAGTCACATGTGTAGCTTGAACAGAATACATTTCTATGCTGTATGCTTTCGTGAAGACGACCAAGGAGAAAAACAGTTGCTCTTGCATAAGCAATTATGTCTAATCCTTGCACTATTTTACACCAAGAGACTGACAGTGTTGGCACAGAAGAATCTTAACTGCATAATATACTAACAAAGGTGCGCTGTTTATTAATTAGTTTTACTTGACAGAATTTATAAAAATTGATGAATTGCAGCTGGTGACGAAGTCGTGAGCATGACAAAATCCTATCTAACTGGGAGGATGCATTCCAAACAAAAAAAAAAGGGCCCAGACTTCAAACAGTACAAACAAAATATTTATAATGTTTCGGCTTCAAGCACAAAAGTCCTCGATCTTCGCAATCGTGTCACACAAGATTGTCAACAAGGCTTCCTTCCATAGTGGCTGCTGGAAATTTTTCGTTTAGTTTGGTCAGTGTTTTTTTTTTTTCTTTGGAATGCAGCTGGTGATATCACAAGGCTTAGAAACTTGAAAAAAATTGTGGTATCATACCAGTTCGGAGATATGTACCATCAAATCCTTCCGAAAAAAAAATGCATTATTTGCCTTATTTTTTTTTAAACAAAGGGCTTTTTAATGTAATTCGGGTTGCCACCTTGGAAAAAAGAAAAAAAGTGCCCACCGGGAAAGGCAGTGGGAAGGGAACTTATTCAGGAGCTTCAATATATGTTGAAATGTTGAACAACAGGTGCCATTTTAAGTACTTGGTATGCCACGTCATTTATTCGTACATTTGTTTCCTGTTGTGCTATCAACATAATGTACATGTATATAAAAACACAACACCGAGCTACTTATATACTGTAAAATATTGAGGAAGCACCCTGCCCCTCTGGTGAAAGATAATTCAACAAGATTTGGAGGGAGGCCTTTGCTTGGTCATGGAGCGAAATTCCAGTTGATTGAGAAAGAACAAGTATGAACGCAAAATTCACAGCTGTGTTTGGAATGAAGTTCTTTGTTGAGTATGCATGCATTCACTGTTCCCAGAATAGTGAATAAAACGGTGAAATTGTTGGATAAGGGGGCGGGGAGGGGGTACTTGCTCTGTTATTGGTACGTAGTGTACATAGCCCCCCCCCCCCCTCCCCAAAAAAAAAGAAAAACAGTAGGGGGGCTTCTCAGGATTTGACGGTCATCTACTAGTTGCCAAAAAATAGTTGTCACTGAAATAGCATTAAATTTAAATAACATGATGTAACATTCACGTTAAATTACAAAAGTACTGAAACACTTGTGTATTTTGTCGCATACCTGAGGAATGAATATCTCGAAACGTGTTGTAAATGTGCGTTGCCAACCGCTGACTTCAGGCAGTGAAATTTCAGTATTACTGAAAGTAATTGATGAAAACTGAGTTTTGTTAAGTAGATTGTATATCTTTATTTCTAATAATATTGGATGACTGGAATTGTGCTATCTAGCTGTGAAAATCGCCTAGTTTTAGCAGTTTTTGCAAGAGCATCTAACAAAAAAAAAAAAAAGATTCAATGGCCTGCAGGAATTGGTCGCCTTATATATACATCCATAACCCATTCGCTCTGTGGAAACAAATCAAGCAACCATTTAACATTGTGCACATTACTGAAGAAAGTTCTGCTGCCGGTATGCGCTCAATAAATACCATTGCATACATTCTTGCACTTCTGCTTTGACCTTGCGATTGTTCTCAGTAAATTTTCGTTGTATAATAGACTTTTTTTTCTCATTTCAGGAAAAGGTGCAGGGTTTCAAGTTTGCCAAACATTACGTTAATGTGAAGGACTATGAGTCTGCAAAAAAGTAAGCATATTACATGTCTTGATCTCAATGGACAGTTCTGTAGAGCTTAGTATAATTTCCTTAATCATTGGTTAAAAGTGGGAGTCAAACATCGAAGCTCTCTATTAAATTTTGTACAATAATATAGCGCCAATATATGTGTAGCACCAAATTGCGTGTACCATAATTACTCGAATCTAACGTGCACCTTTTTTCCGGTTAAGCGAGTTCATAAATCGCATGCACGTTAGAATCGAGTACGAACAAAAAAATTATGGTCAATCTCTTGCCATCGGCAAATCCAAAATGGCCGCCCCCTACGTGCGTCGGCATGGTGCGTCGGCCATTTTTGCCTATGTGTTTCCCATGTGCGCCACTTCGTACGTGTGCTGAGGAGTTCGTCATCTAGTAGTGCATTAGCATCGATGGCGTGGAAGGGCCGACTCCAAAAACTCGAGTGCACCACGATGCCGCTTTTAAAAGAAAAGTCATCGCGTGTGCAGAAACTGACGGAAATCGGGCCGCATCGCGGTCATTCGGAGTTCCCGAAACGTGCGTGCGGGACCGGCGGAAACAAAAGCAGAAGATCGCCGACAGCAAAGCTTCACGCAAAGGCTTCATGGACCACAGCAGGGTCGGTTTCTGCAAATTAAAGAGCTGCTCGGTGAGTATGTGCTTGAGCAGCGAGCGGCACAGCGGCCCGTGACGACAGAACTGCTCCAAGTGCGGGCGATGCAATTAGTCTTAGGAAAAGGTCTAATGCGGAGCCAGTTTAAAGCGAGCAGGTGCTGGCTAACTAACTTTATGAAGAGGAAAGGCTTTTCCCTCCGAAGGGGAACATGCATATGCGAAAAGTTTTGCGGAGGAGTACGATGAAAAGCGTCACAGTTTTCAGAGGTTCGTCCTAAACTTGCGGCGCAACAACGGCTACCTGCTTGGGCAAATCGGGAATGCCAATCAGACGCCTCTTTACTTCGACATGCCTGGCACCACAACCGTCGAGAAGAAGGGGGCGAAGCAAGTTCGCGTGCTGACATCGGTCCATGGTAAAACTACAGTGACGGCAATGCTCTGTTACACGTCAGATGGGCACACGCTTCGCCCGTACCTCATATTTAAATGGAAGACGCTCCCGAAAGGAGTCGTTTTTTCGAGTGGTGTGATCGTGCGGGCCAGCGAGAAAAATGGGTGCGCGTTGCAATCGATCTCTTTTTTTTTTCCGCTCTGGAAATCGGGTGCGCGTTACTATCGAGGGCGCGGTAGAATCAAGTAAAAACGGTAGTTACAGGAAACCACCGGTGCCTATAATGTACTTTTATTGTTTTGCACCACCACTGACAAGAAGAAGTAAGTATGCATGCAGAATTGACACAGCACAATGCACTATTAAATACAGTAATATTTTTTCTTCCCAAAAGAAATTTTCTCATTACTTTTTGTCATCTCAGAAAAAGGGGAATAGAGTAACTAATACAAGTTTAAATACATTTATACCTCTTTGTAGAACAAGAATGGCTTATTCATGACAGCAATGTGGATTCATGTGAAACAAAGTTTATAAATATAAACATAATAATAGGATAATATGCATTCACTGAGAAGCTGTGGTTGGTTTAGTTTCCTTATGTTCCTGATTAAGATCCTGGGAAGTACTTGATCCTGATTGTTTCATTTTTCTGAAGTCATTTCTTGTGAAGCCAAACTACCTCTGAAATGGCTTGTTATGATTGGTTTGCCATTTATAACTGGCGATTAGACGTAAAGGCACATGCATGCTCTACCAATTCGTTGGCGTGACACCCGCATCGCGAAGGTATGGTGAGACGGCCCACTCCAATGTTGCCAGAAAACATTCATTGCCAGACGGCTAGCTCAATTTTCCGGAATCTTGAAGCACTGGCAGCTAACATGTGCTTAAACAGGCTAGCTGGATGCTGCTGAACTCAAGGCATTGCTGAACAACTGTAATGAAGTGTGAAATGCAGTAAATACATGAAGCTGGGTAGCGTTGCGCACTCACTAGCATGCGATAGATGCCTGTAGTATGCACAACCCTCTCCTGTAATCTCGAAGTTTGTCCTTCACGTGACCGCTTTCAGCGTTGCCTGTATTCTGAACATTACTCTGTGCTTTTTAAAAACTTCTGCTGATTGATGTTCATATAGAGTGACCACTTCTGCCGAGGTGCAGTACTGCCATCAACTTTGTTGTGTTGAGCTGGAGCATTGAGTAGAGAGAGATTACAGAACTCGTAGGACAGGAGAGTGCTGTAAGGAATGTGGTGTCATGCGCACAACGGTGCAGCAGGAGATTGGGCTCTTTGGCAAACATATCTGGTGCTGGGGGGGATCTAAAACTTCTAAATCCGAGTAACTGGAGTCTGCGTAATTACCTGCTTGGAAATTTCACCAAGCAGTTGCTTATGGAAGTTTCAGATTCTGTGGATGTCCACGTTTGAATACATTGCTGCTCTACAATGTTGTGATCATGGCATGAACAGCTTTGCTTGGTTGTTCTTAGTGTGTCGCCCACCGCTCTGCAATATTGTTACGACTTCTTGTAGCAGAGAACATTGTTCTAGTCACTGATCGTACCATGTTTTATGGCACTTGGGACGGAACTTATGGTTGTTGCTTGTATAACTGAAACATTATGCAATAAATTTAATGGCAGTCATCGCTTAGTAATTGATGTTTAAATCATTTGTATATAGGGATTCTTGAAATTTAGCTTGGCTAAAGGGAAAAAATGTATTCGTCATTTGTCACAGATATGGTTGGTCTCTGCTCTGTGATTTACATAGGTACCTTGCTGCCTACTTGGCCGTGCATGGTGATTATGCAGCTGCACACAAGCTGATGGGCCAGATTCAGGAGGCCCTTGAACGCCCATATGAAGCCATTAGATCTTACAAATGGTGAGTAGTAGTGGGCTTACAGGTGCCCATCTCTGAGCTCTGTCGAAGTGTTATTAACAAGTGCAGAACTTTTGTGCTGTCGCTCTGTTTTTACGTTAGAGAAGGTGCAGTTGTTGTGCATACTTTAGCTTTCATACATTTTGCTGCTTGTGTTGCTTTGACGATAGGCATCATCATCATCATCATCAGCCTGACTACGTCCACTGCAGGACAAAGGCCTCTCCCATGTTCCGCCAGTTAACCTGGTCCTGTGCTTGCTGCTGCCAATTTATACCCGTAAACTTCTTGATCTCATCTGCCCACCTAACCTTCTGTCTCCCCCTAACCCGCTTCCCTTCTCTGGGAATCCAGTCAGTTACCCTAAATGACCAGCGGTTATCCTGTCTACGCGCTACATGCCCGGCCCATGTCCATTTCCTCTTTTTTATTTCAACTATGATATCCTTAACCCCTGTTTGTCCCCTAATCCACTCTGCTCTCTTCTTGTCTCTTAAGGTTACACCTACCATTTTTCTTTCGATTGCTCGCTGCGTCGTCCTCAATTTAAGCTGAACCCTCTTTGTAAATCTCCAGGTTTCTGCTCCGTAGCTAAGTACCGGCAAGACACAGCTGTTATATACCTTCCTCTTGAGGGATAGTGGCAATCTACCTGTCATAATTTGAGAGTGCTTGCCGAATGTGCTCCACCCCATTCTTATTCTTCTAGTTACTTCAATCTCGTGGTTCGGCTCTGTGGTTATTACCTGCCCTAAGTAGACATAGTTTTTTACAACTTCAAGTGCACTATTACCTATCTCGAAGCGCTGCTCCTTCCGAGGTTGTTGTACATTACTTTCGTTTTCTGCAGATTAATTTTAAGACCCACCTTTCTGCTCTCCTTGTCTCACTCCGTAATCATGAGTTGCAATTCGTCTCCTGAGTTACTCAGCAATGCAATGTCATCGGCGAAGCGCAGGTTACTAAGGTATTCTCCATTAACTCTTATCCCTAACTGTTCCATTCTAGGCTTCTGAAAACCTCCTGTAAGCACGCGGTAAATAGCATTGGGGAGATTGTGTCCCCCTGCCATACACTCTTCTTGATTGGTATTCTGTTGCTTTCTTTATAAAGCACTATGGTAGCAGTTGATCCCCTGTAGATTTCTTCCAGAATGTTTATATATATATACTTCATCTACGCCCTGATTCCGCAGTGTCTGCATGACGGCTGATATTTATACTGAATCAAACGCCTTCTCGTAATCTATGAAGGCTATGTATAGTGGTTGGTTATACTCTGAGCATTTCTCTATTACCTGATTGATAGTATGAATGTGGTCAATTGTTGAGTAGCCTGTTCGAAAACCTGCTTGTTCCTTTGGTTGATTGAATTCTAATGTTTTCTTTACTCTGTTAGCAATTACCTTTGTAAATAGCTTGTATACTACAGAGAGCAAGCTGATCAGCCTGTAATTCTTCAAGTCCTTGTCATCTCCTTTTTTAAGTATTAGGATGATGTTAGCATTCTTCCAAGACTCTGGTACTCTTCCCGGAGGCACCTCGTAAACAGGATGGCTAGTTTTTCTAACACAATCTGTCCTCCATCTTTCAGCAGATCTGATGTTACCTGATCCTCACCAGCAGCTTTGCCTCTTTGCATGCTCTGCAAAGCTTTTCTGACTTCTTCTATCATTACTAATGGGGTGTCATCTGGGTTACTGCTAGTTCTTATAGTATTAAGGTCGTGGTTGTCTTGGCTACTGTACAGATCTCTGTAAAACTCCTCCGCTATTTTAACTATCCCATCCATATTGGTAGTTATTTTGCCTTCTTTGTCCCTTAGTGCATACATCCGACTTTTGCCTATCCCAAGTTTCCTCTTCACTGCTTTGACGCTTCCTCCGTTTTTCAGAGCGTGTTCAATTCTCTCCATGTTATACCTTCTTACATCGCATACCTTACGTCTATTAATCAACTTCGAAAGCGCTGCCAGTTCTATTTTGTCTGTTGTACTTGACACTTTCATGATTTGACCCTTCTTAATTAGGTTCTTCGTTTCCTGGGAAAGCTTGCCAGTGTCCTGTCTAACTGCCCTGCCTCCAGCTTCCACTGCACACTCCGTAATGATACTCCTCAGATTATCATTCATTGTATCTATGCTAAGGTTGGTTTCCTCACTAAGAGCTGAGTACCTATCCTGAAGCGAGACTCTGAATTCCTGTACTTTCCCTCTCAGTGCTAGCTCATTGATTGGCTTCTTGAGTACCAGTTTCTGTCAATCCTTCTTCAAGTCTAGGCGAATTCGAGACCGTACCATTCTATGGTCACTGCATCGTACCTTGCCAACCACTTCCACATCCTGCACGATTCCTGGTTGTGCACTCATTATAAAGTCTATTTCGTTCTTATTTTCGCCATTAGGGCTCCTTCATGCCCACTTGCGGTTTTCTCATTTTCGGTAGAACGTATTCAAAATCCGTAAATAATTGCGTTCTGCGAATTCTACTAGTAGCTCTCCTCTAGCGTTTCTAGTACCGATGCCATAATCTCCTACTGCCTGGTCTCCAGCCTGCTTCTTCCCTACCTTTGCATTAAAGTCGCCCATCACTGTAGTATACTGTGTTTTTACCTTACTCATTGCCGATTCCACATCTTCATAGAAGCTTTCAACTGAAGCATCATCATGGCTGGATGTAGGCGCGTAAGCCTGTACTACCTTCATCTTGTATCTTTTATACAGTTTAATTACGATACCTACCACCCTTTCATTATTGCTATAGTATTCCTCTATGTTGCCAGCTATGTTTCTGTGAATTAGGAACCCCACTCCCAGTTCTCTTCTGTCTGTCAAGCCCCGATAGCAAAGGACGTGCTCATTCTGTAGCACCGTATAGGCCTCATCTGTCCTCCTAACCTCACTGAGCCCTATTATATCCCATTTAACACCCTCTAGCTCCTCGAATAGTACAGCTAGACTTCCCTCACTAGATAAGGTTCTAGCGTTAAATGTTGCCAAGTTCAGGTTCCAATGGCGGCCTGTCCGGATCCAGAGATTCTTAGCACCCTCTGCTGCGTTGCAGATCTGACCGCAGCCGTGGTCACTTGCTTAGCAGCTGCTGGGGACTGAGGGCTGTCAGTTATTTGACGTATGCATGTGGGAGGTAGTGGCCAGATACTGCACCAGGGTGGTCAGTCCTTCTCTGGTGAGGGAGTGCGTTCCCGGCGGTGGTTACCGGTGAGGCCGCCGCACCCCAGGCCTCTTAATGCAGTTCCATACAAACGCGGATTTTTTTTTTAATCCGGTTGGGAGCTGCGTGGCACCGGGATTTGAACCACGGACCTCTTGCATGCGAGGCGGATGCTCTAACCACTACGCCATCGCCACATCGACGGTAGGCATAGGCTTTAGCATATAGAAGTCAATAGTCTCAGCATACTCTCTCTACTTTGAAACAGATGGCAAAGCTATTTGACGAAGTTTACAGTTATTCAATGAGCGAAAGCTTATATTAGTGCCCACTCCTGGTGTCTGTGGCCACTCAGATTTCTCATTTAAGGTGTGATGTCACATTTCAGTGCAGTTTGTATGATGTGCGTAGATTTCAATACAAATATCTCTTATAACAGAAGGCCTTATCTTTTTTTATCCTTTAGTGAGGTTCTCTTTTTTACACGTTGAAACGGTATAGTAGGAAAACATTGCTTTAATTAATATACTGTTAGCACAAATTCATCGATTGTACATTTGTCGACCATTTCCAGCCCGAGTCTTGGGGAATGCCACTGAGAGTTTCGTGGCTCTTTAGGAGTTTTGCTTTAAAATTACCCGGTAAAATAATGAGCAGAAGGCTTGTAGCTTAGAAAATAAAGATGTTGATATGTTATGATAACATTTCGATTGTGTCATTTATCCTTTTGCTTCGCCTTCTGCTATGATGCCTCTTAGTATTTTTCTTAACAGTTCTTTATCTTTCTGTGTCTAGTTGCTTGGACTTGGATGAAAGCCAGAAGGATGTTTTGTTGAAAAGTAAGAATTGTGCATTCATGCACTTTTCTTGTAATTAAGCTAACGATTCAGTTTCGAATATTAAGAGTCATTCAAGTGGTCACCATGTAATTCTTTTTCGTTTTCAGTTTGCAAAATCTATGCTGACTTACCAGCTGATCGACAAGCTATTAAGGTATGACTAAATAGATTGCGAAGGTATCACTTACTCTTTTTTTTTTTTTCATTTTCTAGATCATTTGAAAACTTTGTGAATAATCACTGCATTGATGCATAGCGCATTAAAGAATTGATAATGCCGAAATGATTTCTTGATTTTGAACATGTTAAGGCTTTTTTTTTTGTTTGCAGTATTGGCTGGAACAAGCTGAAGACCATTTTCCTGGTCATAGTATTGTGGTTAAACTCAAGGTGAGCCATAATCTCTATAGTAGTATAGGCATGTTATAGGTAGAACCTCGTTAATATGATTGAAAAAAGTGTGGAAAATAAACCTATGATCCAAGAAAATCTGTGATCCGAACCGTAGTGCCCAAATGGGGTTATATTTAGCTTTTGCAATCGCGAGCATAATGGCCGGTAAATTCTATTAAGCGGGAATATATCAAGGAGATTATTCTGTATATGTTATTTGTTAGGTAAACCAGCTAAGTCTTTTTCTCTAATTTTATTGCTTCAAGATTGTTCATTTGTTCATGCAGATTGCTTATTCATAGATACAATGTATACCGATTTTATTGAATAATTGTTATATTATTATTATTATTTTTCGTAAATTTTGCTCTCAGTCAAAAGTAAAAAAGAAACGCAGACTAAAACTTCAATATCAAACATGAATATAACGAAATATCAGTTATAACCAAGTAAGGGAAAAATAGTCTTGCGATAAATACAGTGTTAGGCATAACCTTTACAACAAATTTTTAGATATAACAAACTTATTTTGTTGTAGTTTGCAAGTTTGTTATAATAAGGTTTTAGTATATATGTGGCATTATTGAATAAGCACAAGTGACCTGGATCACTTTTATGTCTGGTTCAAAAAATTTTCAAGTCTTGGTGTTTAAATTTTATATTTGCTGTTTTTTTGGGGGACACATCTTCTCGCACTGCTCTAGAAATGCGAAGTTTTGATGGAGGGCTGCTCTCTGTCTATACCATTTAAAGCTACAGACTTCTTTTGTAGTCTGAAATTTCATTATACTTTGGTTTTGAGGTTGCTGACGTCTTAGGTTGGAATGGTCACCATTCATTCACTGCAAATAACATGAAATATTATTGTGTTTTTTTTTTTGTCCTACAGTATATAAATGGTGCGTAGTTGACTAGGTTCTGTATAAATATATTTTTTTCTGGATTTGCACATTGCAGCGTTCAAACTTGCTTGTGGTAAAAGTAGAGCATGCATAAAGCAGCTTGAAAGATGGTGATTGCGTGTTGCCACTGTATGCTTTGATAAAGAGAATTAGATTGTTAATGTGTACAGATGGGCATTTTTTGTGTTAGCGATAATACCATAGGCCCGTGTGCCCAGATTGGGGTGCACGTTAAAGAACTTCAGCTGGTTCTAATTTCCGGAGCCCTTCATTATGGCATCTCTCATAATCATGGTTTCGGGACGTCAAACCTTTCATATATATCAATCGGGGTACAAATGGGCTTTTCTAGACAAGCTGGCTGCAATTAGTGCGGGATAATTATTCTTAGGTGTTAAAACATCAGTTCATGATGATAAAGTTTTAAAAAAAGTGGCTAAATAAAACTGAAACTGCTTCCGAGGGGCATGTGTTAAAACGTGACAAAACAAAAAAGAGCAGAATAGGATGAAGATCTATGTGTTGAATTCCTCAACAAAACAGCTGGTGCCTGTATGCAGGAAATGTTGACAACGGCTCAAGGTGTACCTGATGTAAAGGACAAAGAGGATCTGATCAGATCAGAAATTGTGAGTACTCAACGTCAGTTCTCTTAAAAAAAAAATACTATGTTTGTTGGGACTAAATGTATTGATTATGTTAATTGACGATATGTCCACATTGAACCTCAAGTTGAAGAAAACTTGAAAGGATGCTTACATATCTGTAAGATTTCATTAAATTGGTGGCACATGTCTTGCATCTATGCCACGTTTAGATGCTTTGCATGAAATGAGTAACTGATCAGTCAACTTCAATACGTGCACTTCTGTGCTTGTCTCAAGTACACCACTTTGCAGGCTTAGGCCCTTGATCTGATGGCAAAGATGGAGTAATGTCACATATAGCTTACATTGTTGTCCTTTAAGGTGACATCGTTTTAATTACTTTCAAAACTCTAGTGTGTAAGCGTGTTTTTTTGTAGTATCACTGTAAAAGTGCCTACAGTATTTCATCGTCTATTGAAAGGAGCAATAGTGTAAACACCATCAGAAATGGTTGTCAAGATTTTAATCTTCAAATATGGAGCTTCAATTCTAATGAGCTAGAATTTTTAAATGTGCACATGAGTGTACATCAGTGCAGGAGTGTTTTTGCAGATCACACTGCACCAAAATGCAGCTGTGGTGGACAGGATTTGAGCCATAACTTTGCATAATTTCCTGCACAACACTACTGCAAAGTACCGAGCAAGCACCGCACCCTCACCCGATGAAGTGCCCCCTTCCCTTTTTCGGGAAATGTGAAATAAGTGCCAGATTAGTGCCCATCACTGGTCCCGGACTGAGTAAGTGACCCCCCTTCCAAATCTGGTTGGATTATCCTTTACCGCAGGAAGGGAAGAGTAGGGGGGGGGGGCTTGCTTAGCATTTTACAGTAGACACAGATGAACAGGAGACCGAAACAACGCTAGCAAAAGCTCGCAGCTGATGAATCAGTGCCAACGTGCTCTACTGTCGCTTCTTTTTCATGACTCATAGTGGTTTAAAGCAAATGATAGGGTCTTTGTTTGCTCAGTGTTAATGCAAAGCAAAGTGGCAACATAAGATGATCGGGACACACCATGTGAAGCCTTAGTGTTGCAATTTTTATCAGCATTGACTATATATGCATTATGCTGAATTGACTTGATGCTAGGTTTATTTGTGTAAGACATTGCTAGGTGATGTCAACTACTAGTACAGAATCACCTGTTGTCAGTAGAAATACTAAGAAAATCTAGCTTGTGTGGTCAGTAGAAATACTAAGAAAATATAGCTTGTGCGATATTACAGTGTATTCAAAGGGGTTTATGGTATACTGGCTAGCTGGACAAAGCCATCGATGTTTTAAGATGCTTTGTTCGACCACAATTATCCCTTTATGTACTGTTGTCGGCTGTAACACGACTGCATTGGCTTGTGGTGAGGCAGTGCTTGACAAGTTATTTCGTGGTTGATTCACGGGCTCATTTTCTCGTTGAATTATGGGTCATGTCGAAATGAGTAAGTAAACTTCTTTTACTAGAGTTTTGTTTCTTTAGTTTCGCACCAAAAGGAGTGGAAAGTGGTTTCAGATCGCAAAGGGTTATAGGCACATTTGTTTGTATTTGCCTAGTTTTCTGAAAGAAAAAGGACAAGAGGACAACTCATTCACTGTTAAGCCATGGCCTAGACTTCATTCCAGCAGAAAAGATAAATGCACTTGGTTTCTCCAGTAACTATTCTATGCGTGCCCGGTTCATATACCGTGATTACTCAAATCTAACGCGCACCTTTTTTTCCGGTTAAGCGAGTTCATAAATCGCATGCGCGTTAGAATCGAGTACGAACAAAAAAATTGCGGACAATCTATTGCCATCGGCAAATCCAAAATGGCCGCCCCCTACGTGCGTCGGCACCTTCCCTTCCTCCGTGTGCGTCGGCATGGCGCGTCGGCCATTTCTGCCTATGTGTTTCCCATGTGCGGCACTTCGTACGTGTGCTGAGGAGTTCGTCATCTAGCAGTGCATTAGCATCAACGGCGTGGAAGGGCCGACTCCAAAAACTTGAGTGCACCACGATGCCGCTTTTAGAAGAAAAGTCATCGCGTGTGCAGAAACGGACGGAAATCGGGCCGCATCGCGGTCGTTCGGAGTTCCCGAAACGTGCGTGTGGGACCGGCGGAAACAAAAGCAAAAGATTGTCGACAGCAAAGCTTCACGCAAAGGCTTCAGTGGACCACAGCAGGGTCGGTTTCCGCAAATTAAAGAGCTGCTCGGCGAGTATGTGCTTGAGCAGCGAGCGGGACAGCGGCCCGTGACGACAGAACTGCACCAAGTGCGGGCTATGCAATTAGTCTTAGAAAAAGGTCTAATGCGGAGCCAGTTTAAAGCGAGCAGGTGCTGGCTACTACTTCACGAAGAGGAAAGGCTTTTCCCTCCGAAGGGGAACATGCATATGCGATAAGTTTTGAGGAGAAGTACGATGAAAAGGTTCACAGTTTTCAGAGGTTCGTCCTAAACTTGCGGCGCAACAACGGCTACCTGCTTGGGCATATCGGGAATGCCGATCAGACGCCTCTTTACTTCGACATGCCTGGCTCCACAACCATCGAGAAGAAGGGGGCGAAGCAAGTTCGCGTGCTGACATCGGTCCACGGTAAAGCTACAGTGACGGCAATGCTCTGTTACACGTAAGATGGGCACACGCTTCGCCCATACCTCATATTTAAATGGAAGACGCTCCCGAAAAGAGTCGTTTTTTTGGAGTGGTGTGATCGTGCGGGCCAGCGAGAAAAATGGGTGCGCGTTGCAATCGATGTCTTACGTTTTTTTTTTTTTTTTCGCGGTGGAAATCGGGTGCGCGTTACAATCGAGGGCGCGGTAAAATCGAGTAAATACGGTAAGCTTTGCCAGATGGCATCACCTTTCCAGCCTCTCCCATTTATACCTATGATACCTACTATGATATTAACAAGAAGTTTGGAGACAAACTAAAGCTCTCTACTGTCGCTGAGATCTGGCATACCAGTCACCTGCATTTCAGTGTCTAGTTTGGCTCCACGTCGATACCATTTTATGCAGTGCTTGCTGGTGCTGTGCCTGAAAAACACTCAAAGGACGCGCCCGCTTCTCTCTGAACTGTGTTAGTGACGTCACTGCTTGCATCAACTTGTAATCCTGCACACCAAGAATGTCTCTCCTGCCTTTTATTTCGCACTCCTTCAGGTTTTCCCAAAGTGAAGGAAGTAGGCAAGAATAGATGCTCCTTCAATAGTTTGTTGTTGTGGTCTTCAATATTCTGCCCACACCGCTTCCTGAAGACCAAGGCCAAGCTTCTGCTTGCCTCAGTTACACTTACGTCGATGAAGTTTACAGAATGAAATTTATATATACCCAATCTGGGGTGGTATAAGCAAACCTATTTACTAGTTACAAGTTCCATGAATTGTGTACTAAGATGTGAGCATGTCTGCATTTTACCTGCTGGATAATTATTTAATAAACATAGTATGCACACATGAATACAGGGGAAGTGTGATGCTGGCACTACAAGTGGGCATTGTATGATTACTCTCTAGACGCAAGTGGGAATTGTCAAAGACTGGACATAATTCCAGTAGCGATTGGGAGTGACCTGCTCAAGCACATATATGAGACTGTGTGCTCAAGAAAGTACAAGAAGGAAGAATGTACCGTATTTACTTTCGTAGTGAACGCACTCGCACAATAAACGCACCCTCAACATAAGTCCTCAAAATTTGTATATTTTTCCCCCGCGTAACAAACGCACCCCCTACATTCACCCGCTGCAGTCCCACTAACCGACACTTGGCGCCTCCTTACCCGTTGGATCTCTTCCGTTATTTATTATTATGCCAGCCCCCCTCGGCCACCTCGTCTCGCTCCCTTCCCCCTCGCCCACTACCGCGTGCCGTATTGTTTTTCTTTCTATCTGTCGGCGGCACATCCCTCATCTTTTTTATCTGTGCACCACAGCAAAGTTTACGAGGAGTGTGAACGTACAGATGTCACAGCTGATAAGCACACCCGATGGTCACTTCCTGCCAATACGAAACCTCAAGGCCCAACAACGTGCACGCGAAAGAGTGTACGCGTATATCAATGCGAAAGATTAAGCGACTTAACTTTATTTTTTGCATTACCGTATTTTCTGCTCATCCCAAAAAAGTTTTCATAAAATTTTCCCCGCACAATAAATGCACCCCCAGCTTTGCTAAGATTTTTCAAGAAAAAAAGTGCATTCATTACTTCAGTAAATATGGTAATAGTTTTCTATAAAACTTTTCTGCTGTGTGAGTTGGTTTATACTTGTAGGATAGTCGGATGATAGCTTTCAGTTTGGTCTGACCTACTGGGCTCTCCTGTTGATGATATCAGCATGAAAGAAAGTGGTAGAATTTCGTTTTAGTTTTGCATCTGTTATTTAATTTTTTTGTTTTTGCAAAAATGGTGTGCAGATGGAAAGTCCACTGGATGTGGAATATAGAGTCAAGCTTCTCGAGCTGTTACTGGACACTGGGCGTGTGCGGGATGCCTTCACGCACTGCCCTTCAAGCAGAGGAGGACCCACAGTTCAATGCTGAGGCTACATACTCGCTTCTGTGGCAACGCTGTGTGACCAATGTTACCAAGGTATGATGTTAAAATAGATTAAATGTTTCAGGCTGGGAATTTTCGGTATGGATAGAAAACTGCCTCAACAAAGAACAGCACAAAACTTTTGTAAGTTACTGCAACGAGCAGCTACATTATTCTTGCATATATAGCAAGCATTTACGTGTAAGGGCGCCTTAGGGAGCAAGGCTGTCGTATGTTGTCATCGTCGCTTAGCGCAACGCAGGCAAAAAAAAAACACAAGTTAAAACATAGCCCGCTGTAGCATATCAGAGGTGTGCTCACTCGAAAGAGAAGTCTTCCTATTGTTCTTCTAGCGCCTTGATGATGATATTAGCACAGGCAAACCTACCTATACATAGCCAACATTGGTGCACTGAGTGTGCGCTAACGCTATTTTAATATATATATTTTTCTGACATTGCAATTTTAAAAGCCTTACAATCAGAATTAACGTACAGTATTTTATAATGGAGCACTATTTCAATGCAATGGTTGTGCCCTGATGGGTCAACACGATTAAACACCTTGGTTTTTCATTTTCAAAGATTTTTGTGCTGTATTATTTAGTGAAGAGTGGGTGCTGTCTTTTCCGCAGGCATACTACCACGATCAAACTGAATATGAGCTGAGAGTGGACGAGCTTTTCTGACCACGTATTTGCTGAGATTGGACCAGCTGGCTATTCTGACGCTGCACAACCCAAACGGTTCATCACTGTGTGCTCTGTCTGGTTCTGGAGGCACAGATCCAAACAAACTGGGGGCGAAATCCACATTGGAGGATGCTGTCAGTGTCGTCGAATCGTGAGTGGCCCATTCAGAAGCACTTGCATTTTGCTCGTTTCAAACAGTTCAAATTGGAAAGGTTGTTTCGAAGTTGGAAAATGAACCAGCTTGCTCAACTGTCCTCCTCCTTGCTATGTGCTACATCTCTTGTAGCTTTGCTTTGCAGCTTAGATAGTCTGTTTAGCTGCCATTCAGTGTGCTATGCAATTGAGTGGTAGTATTGTTTCTTGTTTGCACTTGCATCGCTTTTTTTTTTTATCCTGTTACATACATCAGGCTGTAGGTACTGCTAGAACTGATGGGCATGTACTATTATAGGGACAATAAAGTCAAATAACAATTTACGTCAGAGTGAAAGCTCAATGTATGACAACATCTAAAATGACAATATTATCAACAACAGTGCCCTACTTCCAAGAAATCAAGGTAAATGCACAAGAACACAAGCGCCGCAGTAGGACATTTTCAAAATGATCCCGATGACATAAGACGGACTGCCTACAATTAATCACTAGTAATCGATCTAACTGCACTAAATTAAGAACCTTCCCTTCATCAAGAGGCGCAATAAATCTGCTTGTTCATTTCTGTTTGGTTCATAAAAAAAGAAAAAGAACCGCTGGACGTTACTATGGGAAATGGCGCAAGTGGTTAAAAAATTCAATTTTTGCGTGGTTACATGGGACATGTGGTGCCATCTAGCGGGGCCCTGTTGAAACAAAATGTCTGCAATCTCGAAGCCGATGGCGGGAAATTGATCAATGATCGTTGTTGCTACTGTGGCTCCCGCTGCTTTCAGACTGCTACTACTAGCGCAGTAAAGCTGGGCAACGTTCTGCATGGCAACAGTGACTTGAGTCGGTCCGGTCGGTTAGCTTCTTGAGGTGGATAATTTGAAGTGCGCTAACCCAATGCGGAGCACTAAAGATGGAATAAACTTTACTTTGTATCCGGCGTGTTAGTGGGCTGGGCTCCCGCCTAGGTGTCGGCTAGAAGGTCTTGCCTCCTAGCGGCTTCCTCGGCCTGCTGGATTGCCCATAGCTGATCGTCCAGGGCTGAACTGAGCAGCCTGGCCAGCCAACGTGCGCGAAGGCTGTCGGTGCAGGTTGCGTTCTCATTACTTGTGTTTTAATCCCTGGCATTCTCATAGTATATGTTCTAAGGAAGCTCGTGCCTGACAATATTTGCTTGAGCGGTCGCGTAGATCTCTGGATACATTGCATGCAGTAGCGCTGGATTCCTATATAGGATCTAGTTTGTAATTGTCCCCATTGGACAGACTGTGCCCTGTTGAGTTTATGATGAGGAAGGTGGTAAACACGCCTCTGTAATTTATAATGTTTCGTAATTTCATTGAACGTTGTCATTCGGTCCTCCACCTCCCACACATTTGGAAATTCTGACGAGGGATCAACATTTGTCGTAGCCCGGAAAGTGAGTCCTCGAGCTATGTTGTGTGCCACCTCGTTAGGGTTAGTATCTCCCGTGGTGTCGGGTATGTGAGCTGGGAACCAGAGAATGCAAACGCATCTGTTATCTTGGTTGGTTTTGCCTGTTCTAAGGATACGCAGTGCTTCAGGGGAGATTCTGCCATTTGCAAAGTTGCGTACAGCTGCTTGTGAATCGCTGATTATATAACACGCGTCAGTTTGTGATATGGCCAAAGCTATAGCTATCTCTTCCGTCGTTTCAATGCGTCTCGTGTGTATTGTCAGACTGGTGCTGCATTGTTTCTTGTGGTTAACTACAGCCACGACGAAGCAGCTTTTGTGTTTGTAACCAGCAGCATCTACGAAGACCGCTTCTTTGTCATTTCCGTAGCTCTTGTGTCATCGTCTTGGCTCTGCTCAGCCTTCTACCTGCTTTGTGCACGGGACGCATGTTTTTAGGTAAGGGAGGCACTGTGAGCTTAGCCCGTACGTCACGAGGAATGTCGCATTTGGTGCCAAATTGTGTGTGGTAAGTGATGCCTAATTTTTCCAGGATGCATCTATCTACCAGTCTTGGTTTTAGAGAGGCGCTCGTACTGTGCAATACATTTATCAGTTCCTCAAGTGTATTATGCAAACCTAGCTCTAACAGCCTCTCTGTACTTGTGCTTTGCATGAGCTCCAGTGCTTGTTTGTAGATTTTTCTTATGAGGCTGTTTAATTTCATTCTTTCTGCTGCGAACTATCTATGACATGCAGAAACATACGTAATGTGGCTGATGACAAACGCGTGGAAGAGCTTTAAGACATTTGCCTCTTTCATGCCGCTATGCTTATTCGTAATTCTTTTGATTAGGCACATCATTTGAGAAACCTTCGCTTCGATATTGCGTACCGTTTCCCCGTTGGTGCCTTTGGCTTCTATTATTAACCCCAGTACCCTTATCTTGTCTACAATGGGTATGGTGTGTCCATCTCGTGTTTTAAGTTGTATGTCTGTGTAGGTATGTGTGTTGTGGTGCTTGGGAGGTCGGCCCTTTAATGTTGGTCTATATAATAGCAGCTCAGATTTTTTGGCTGAGCACGTGAGACCAGTTCCTTCTAGGTATTGCTCTACGGTGTTGATCGCTTCTTGTAAACGTTGTTCAATTGACCCATTGCTGTTGTTACTTACCCACAAAGTAATATCATCTGCATATATTGTGTTGAGGAAAGGACGAGCCGCCGTGCCCATGGCGAAGCCCACCCGATCGACCTCTTCTTTCTTCCGAATGCCGGTCTAATCCCCGATGCGCTCCTGGTCCTCTACACAATTTGCAACATCCTCCACGCCCCCCAGGGTGGCCTCATGATGAACAATATCACATTTGCTGGAAACACTAAACACACAATGTTCGTAACTAATAGTTTGAGGTCTAAGTCAATCCACGTGGAACAATCCGGGTTTGCTTTTGCAGCTGATTTTCCAACGGTGCTTCTGACGCTTGTTCATATACGTGCCTTCGAACGCGTCGCCTTTGGTAAACTTGCGCTCTCGATGATTAAGTTTCATTGGCAGAAACATGGTTTCTTCTGTGAGCTTCTGGTGTGGCTTATTTTGTGAAGTTTTGCCTTTAAATTTCTTGTCTTGGATGTGTTCACCTTGGAAGCATCATCCTTCCTCCTCCATCCCGGACATGACCGCTTTATTCGCCGGTTTGGCCCTGTCTCTATATACTTAATCGGTAGCGAGGTAGCTTGTACGGTTCGCATTCTTTTCCCCCGTGATGTTTGTAGCTTACTCGCAGGACTAATACAGGCAGCAGGCTCCTCTGCCCTCGCAGTTTTTCTCTTGCTTCTTTTCGCTTGAATGCGTCTTGATTTGCTTCTGTCAGACATTTCTACGCGTGGCTGCAAGGACTGTGCTACATTTGAATCTGCTGGCCTTGGCTTTCACCCATTCTTGATATCCCTTGAATGCCCGTTTACAACTTCAAAGGCTTCCCACTTTTCATTATTAGAACTTTGTCCCTCTACCATATGCACTTGAGTTGTTGTATCTGTTGTGTCCTTTGCTTCTGCCCCGCCGCGGTGGTCTAGTGGCTAAGGTACTCGGCTGCTGACCCGCAGGTCGCGGGTTCAATTCCCGGCTACGGCGGCTGCATTTCCGATGGAGGCGGAAATGTTGTAGGCCCGTGTGCTCAGATTTGGGCGCACGTTAAAGAACCCCAGGTGGTCGAAATTTCCGGAGCCCTCCACTACGGCGTCTCTTATAATCATATGGTGGTTTTGTGACGTTAAACCCAACAAATCAATCAATGTCCTTTGCTTCTTTCATAGTATACGCTGACGGGAGTTCTAACGGCTGGGCCAGTTCTTTGAAAGTAGTGGTTCTGTGCGTGCTTTAATGCTCGTTCCATTGGTGAAATCGGTGACCTTTCGGCTTCCAGCGCCTTCAGCTATCCGTCGTGAGTCTGAGTTTTCTAGCTTCCGTAGAAGAAGATTGCTGCTGAAGAAGCAGAGGCGAGATGGTGGCGCCACAGACGAAGAGTGCACGTCAGCTTGTACTTCTGTCCAAATCCTTTTCCCCATGGCCTCCAAGTGAGCTTGTTGAGCATTTAATAAGAAGAAGATTGCTGCTGAAGAAGCAGAGGCAAGATGGTGGCGCCACAGATGAAGAGTGCACGTCAGCTTGTACTTCTGTCCAAATCCTTTTCCCCATGGCCTCCAAGTGAGCTTGTCGAGCATTTAATACGTCGCGATCTTATACTCCACTGTGACCTTGGCTAGAATGATCTGGTGTTCATAAAGCTCTGCTTCACTCGTCTCAGTTTCCAAGCGGTTGATATGAACTGCGTCTTCTACTTCCTTGTCGATTTCTTTAAGAAGCTTGTAATGTTCAATCATAATTCGATGAATATATCGTAACTCACTTACTGACGGACGCTCCATGTGTATAAGACGTTCAATTTTGGCGATGGCTTCTGTGACGGCCTTGAGCACTTCATTCTGTCTTGCGAACAGGGCCTCCATTATCCAGTCCAGTGTCGAAAACGTGAGAGATCACTGGCCGGTCACGTCACTAGGTGAAGTCGCAGTCAACATGATGTCCGTCACAAACGTTTCGCAGCACGAAGTCTCAAGCAATGTCGAGGTATCATGCTTCTTGATCTGGTTCTCGGGAACAATTTGGCTTCGCACATCAGCTTCAACCAACGGCGGCTTCACAAAACTTCTCGAGGCTGTGAATGCGGTCGAAATTCGTGAAGGCCACTCCGTCTCACCTCTGAAGGTCCTTCTTCCCGGGTTTAACGGCACCAAAATGTTGAGGAAAGGACGAGCCGCCGTGCCCATGATGAAGCCCACCCGATCGACCTCTTCTTTCTTCCGAATTCCGGTCCAATCCCCGATGATGATAATGTTGCTCCTTGTCCTCTACACAATTTGCAACATATTGTATGGTGCAAACCTTCTATCTTTTCTAATCTACTTGGGAGGCCAGTTAGGACTTAGTTAAATAACATAGGTGATATCACTGATCCTTGGGGTGTACCTGCACTACCCATAGATATTTTCTCGGATGTGAGGCCTCCTACAACGATTTCGGCT